ATATCCACAGACAATAAAAAGATAGTAAATTGTAGCAAATTTAAAATATTATTATTCGTTTTATTTTTCAATAAATACTAAAGTGTTTAAATCTAAGACGTTGAAAACTGTAGTCATGATATAATTAGCAACTGATTGTAAGAATATGAAAATCCAACCAATAATTTGGTGTATATTGCGATGGAGAATGAAAGAAATGACAATAACAATGGTGGCGTATCTAAAATATAAATGAGATGAAGAAACAGGCATGTAAGAATTTAAATTTCTGCAATGAGAAAATATCTCAATTGCAATACTAAGTTGTATATTTAAATACATTAGAAAAATGCTCATATTTCACCGGTGTAGCCATATAGATCATAGTATTAATTATATTAACTATAATCTCCATTAATTTCTTGTACATTATTTCTGAAAACATTATTTATCTGCGTAACGAACGCGCTGTAATGCTTCTGTCTGCCCCTCTTTCTCTCACAATCAAATCATGGTTCTCGCTCTCATTCCCTCCCATCCTCTCGACAACACTCTTTCTCTCTCTCTCTATCGCATGCGGCGCGCTCTTGCTCTCCCGAAATCGTTTACTATACATATTTCGCATCAGATTTTACCGTCTTGTCTTTACTTGTCTTGATAACTGTTAGGTAGGTTTGAAGGCTGTCAGTATTTACATACAAACAGAAAAACTGTACGTCTCTTTCCTCGATCTCCTCTATCAGGCACTTTTCAACGAAATAATCCTCGCATCGTGTTCAGTTATATACGTTCTATCACACAGATCAGATCACAATGAGTTTTGAAGAGCGAATTCAAAAAAGGCACCCCTGGGTAGAGCAATGTTTTACTAAACAGGCCAATTTTCGAGTACAGTGTCGAGAACCATCTTGCAAAAAAATCTATAAATACGTGAAAAGTAACAAATATCTTGAAATTGAAAAACACATAAAAAGAAAGCATCCAGATATTTATCAGCATGAAAAGAATAAGAGCGAAAGCGAAACCTGGAAATACTTTAGGCTAACAAAAGAAAAAAACAAAGCATGTATTATATGTGATATATGTGATAGAATTCAATTTTCACAAAATGAAAACTTATTGCAACATGTAAAAAAGCATTCAAAATTAGAACGAGATCTAGGACGTCAAAAAGAACAATGGGGTTGGAAATATTTGGAAAAAAAGGACGATTTTTCTGCTACATGTAAGCTTTGTACAAATAATACAAAAAGAGAATTTACTGTAGACATTAATCACATGAAAGAGCACATCTTAAACAAACATGAAGAAAAGAAGCACTTAATAGATCCACGATATAAACAATCTTGGGAATTTCAAATTGAAAACAACTATTGGTTGATTAAATGTTATAGAAAGCCGGTGGATTTTCTAACAAAATGTAAATTTTGCAACAAAGAATTTGCATATGTCCACTATACAAACGCTCAGAAACATATGAAGGATACACATGAACTAATTTACGAAATTGAAATGTCGAAAATGAAAGAAGGTAACATAGACTGGCAATATTTAAGGTATACGGATGAACAATTAAAAAAAATACAATGTATGATATGTTGTAAAACTATGCCAAATATACGCGAAGCAAAAAGTCATGTACAAGATGATATTAAACGCGGTCTAAGACTAAGTACAAAAAAAAATTGGGCTTTTAAATACGCAAGACAAAACGCAGATAATGTGACATGTACGATTTGTGAAGAAAATGTAACAATTAGGGCAAGAATTATTGAATTAAAAAAACATGCAGATACACATGAAAAATATATGGAAAAAATAGCCGAAGAAAACCTATTATGGGGTACAATAATAAGGACTGTACAATGGATCTGGTTGAAAAAATGTTATATAAATGTTGAAAATTTTCGAGCACAATGTAAATTTTGCGAACACAAAATACCATATATCACACATACACAATTTTTGGAACACATAAAGAACAAGCATACTGCTCTTCACTCGCTTGAAAAAGAAAAAATTTTACCTGATATCTTCGACGAACATCAGTGGAATTATATAAGGTATATAGATGGTTTAATATTAGATGAAAAAAATCTAGAATGCATCATATGTGAAAAAAAAGACGAACTACCTCACACAAATCATTTTCCACATGAGCTGAAATTCGTTTCTCATTGGGCACTAAAATACGCGAGACAAAATGTAAAAGTTGCAAATTGTACTTTATGTAAAAATGAAGTAAACTTTGAATGGGCCCCGGAAAATTTAGAAAACCACATAACATCTGTACATCCAAAGGAGCGGGAAAAAATACGTCAAATAGATTTGGTACAAAGAACAGTACACGACCAAGCTACACCGTCGACGAGCTACGCAAGTTGAAAGAAAAACGATCGTAAGTTTTAATCATATTTTATTAATTATGATTGATTAGTAATATTTGTCATAAAACTTTATTCTTGTAATGGTGTACTCAATCAAAATATAAAAACAACAAAAATCAAATAATTATTTGCTTTAATATATTACAAATGTTTATAGATTTATCTACATTGGACAATGGAAATGATGGTAGCGACGTTTTTAAGTAGCATCTCATGACCAGCGATAACGACAGTCTTGACTTTGACCTGAGTGATTTGAACTACATGAAGACATTAACGTATAATTTCACTTATTTGTCGCATATCGGTTATGTGTTTATAAATGTATAACATTGGTAAATTTAAATACATATATATTTATAAATTTATAACTTAACAAAATTGTTTAAATTTATATATTATATATATAATTATAGTCATTACTTTAAAACATAATATTCTTTAAATTATGCTTTAAAATCAAATACTGTGTTACTACATTTATAAAAACGAAACCGATTTCATGAATACAACAAATTTTTTCTCTAATGACGAATCTTCGAGTGACGTACTCAGTACACATATAAAAAGACAAACAAAACTCAAATAATTAGTACTTGTTCGAAATATTTATGTAAATTTTGTGAAATCGCATTCTGCAGCTTAAAACAGATCTGTCTACGTCACTTAATATTTGAAGAAAGAAACTACTGATTATGTATTTTTCAATTCAACATAAAAATATTATTTTTTTATGCAGTATTATCGTGAAAAAAGTAGACGTCAAAACCCTTAGCAAATCTCTAACGACTGTGTTAAGAATGAACTGGAGAATTATATATGTCGTAGTTGGGCATAAATGTATTGTTTTCTTATACATGAGAAAACAGTATATCTCCAAATCCACATACGAAATGTATATTCCTTTAGTTCCTTTTTACAATACTTGTGTAAATACCTTTTGACGCGTTCGCACGTCTACATTTTTTATGACTTTATAAAATAATTTTGAATAATCCTGTAAAAAGTAAAAGTTCGGATATGCGCAAGAAATAAACATAATGTCCATGTTTTAAAGATCATAACTAAAAAGCGTTTGTGACAATTTTGTATAAAATTACCGAATATTCGCATAAATGTATGTCTTGTGAAAATAAATATTGCCACATTAAATTCTTTTAATATAATTCTTCCATTAGGATTAATGTTGTCTTAAAGTATTATAGGCATGTACTAGATTGTATTACATCATCATTTTAAGGTTATTTAAAAAGTTTTCGATTACGAATTTAATGTCATCTCTAAAATAATTATAGCACGTAGCAGATTTTATCATTTTATCATTTTAATGTTATCATTATTTTAAAATTTCTCAACTGAAATTAATGTTGTATCTAAGGTATTATAAGTAGAAAATTATATTATTTTATTATTTTAATGTTATTTCGTTTATTATTTCGTTTATTTCAAAATTTCTCGAATCTTTTACGAATTTAATGTTATTGTTTGCGTCATAAATAAGCTTTCGTCACATAGATTTGCATGTGAAAATAACATATTTGAAGATTCATGTAATTATTCAAATATAATTCGAGATTGATTGTATATTTACACAAATACATAAAGCATGTGATAATAATTATAACATTTATAATATATTCAAGTTTATTTATAATATATATACAAAAAAAAAAATATATATATATATATATATATATATATATA